ACGTGCTACCGTAGCCGCCAGATAGAACGTCAACGCGACCAGAGTGTTTTGTCGCGGGGCGTGTTTCAAGAGCCAACGACCTTGTTGCCTCGTGTCAAGCCGATGGCCATGCACGTCTCGACCGTCCATTTCCAGCTGACGGGACGGGACGTGACGCGCAGAACCAGATGGTTACAGTAGCTAAGAGCACTCCGATGCGGTCATGGCAAGTGAGGTGGGGACCATCGCTCGCTGCTTGCCAGCGCATCTCGCCGGGTTCTGCTCGACCAGACAGGCGTCCTTGCTCTGTTATTAATCCTGCAAAGGCAATCGCAGAGGCGTGGGATGTGCTGATATTATTATATTACAACGTCGAGGACGACTAAAACTCTGGCAAGGACGACGACGACGAAGACATGATGTTGAGGGTGGGGAAGTAGCCCTGTTCGCGGCCACAGGCCGCCAGCGCACGCTCCTGGTCTTCGCCCGCTGCGAGCGCAAGGGCAAAAATGTAGTCCGAGTCGAGCGACGGCGTCGTCGGCGGCAGTGAGAACGACGACGACCGGCTGTGGTCGTCGCCTTGCGGCTCCTCGTCGAGCCGCGTCTCGAGCGTCGCAATGCGCCAGGCGTTGTAAGTGGCCGCGGACGAGATGAGCTTGTCGTGCGAGACGTGGCTCACGTCTTGCTTGTCGAGGAATTCATAAATACGCGAAATGAGGTCCTTGGCGTACGAGGCGATGTCGCGAATGTCGTTCGAGGTGAGGTGCCAGAGCTCTTCGCCCTCGGCGCAGTAGATGCGCGACCGGCAGATCGGGCACGTCTGGTTTTGCGTGCTCCTAGCCGCATCATTACAGTACAAGGAAGAGGCCTCGCTGCACCACGCACCAGGTCTGAAAACACCGCAAGCAAAAACTGTGACTGCACGGCAAGACAACCTCCTTCTGCTTGTCCATGCAGATCTGGCACTCGAAGTCGTCAAAGTCCTTGGCCTCCTTCTCGCTACAATCGCCGCATGCATGAGCCTCCTTCGCTTCGCGCGATGCGTACGTGTCGGTCGGGATCGTCAGCGTATGGACGGCGCAGTCGTTGACATCCGACAGGAAGCAGAGCACATAGTAAAACTGCTGGATTGTCAGAAGCTTGGGCGTGCCAATCGTGTGCTACCCACAGGGCTGCATGAGCCTCGACCGTGAATGCTGTCGGCGGCGCGTACCTCTATGGACTCGAGGGCCTCCCATGTGTTGATATCGCGGGGCGGATCGTGCTCGGGAAGGCGGCGAATCTTGCGCGCTTCAACCATGACCTGCCGCGCATACCGTCGGGCCATGCTCACAAGAGGCACATCGGACGTACATTGCCTTTGACCTTCCAGACGTAGGGCATGACGTCGGGTGCAATGCGTTCGTTGAGCACGAGGCGAAAGCGCAGCTGGCACGTCTTGGGCGTCGGGCAGAGCGTGGCCCTAGGTCGTCGCTTAGCCTCGTCCAGCATGCAGACGACGTCTACCATCGATTGGCATCTTCAATGTGTGTGCCAAGGTCCATGTACGTGCGCATCATGCCAGATACGCGGTCGGCCATGCGCGCTTCCTCGGTCGACGGCCGCTGGCCCATCTTCGTTCCTTCCGGCGGATCTGTTACTCGGTTCCGAACTGAGCCTTCTTTTTCTCTCTCTCGCTGGGATCTTCAACGTTTTTTTACGAGTATTTTTATTCCGCTTTTATTTTAAACTTGCCTTTTGTATGCTGCTTGCCGTGCACCACAAGCGTTTTCAGCCCTCGCCGAAACGACTTGCGCTTTGTATGCAAAGGATCGCGGTCCTCTTCCGGCGTGCATGAAGAATGTTCAATGGGTCACACTTGAAGCCACGTGGAGACAACATGACAACGCGAATCACCTCTTCGAATAGCCGCTGCCTGCTGCTTTTTCCAGCTTGTTCCAGGCAGATATTATTTTGATTTGAATATTTTTCAAAAAAGACCTTCACTCTGGTCGGTTTGCGCAACGCGAATGCGGCCCAGAGCCTGCCACGTCATTGCGGAACCGTGACGCGAGGCCCCGGGGCACAACCAAGTACCCGCCAACGAGCGTGCCACGTCACGCCAGTGATACTCGGGTGCTGGATTGTTGAAGCCGACGCGGATCCAGAGGAAGGCCATGCCTGCAAGGGCGTTGGACGATGGTACAAGGGATGCCCATGGCGATCGCACGTGGGCCGATGCTACTGCCGAAACGACGGCTATTAATACAGGGCAGCGCGATGGACGACGCCGACGGGCGGTGGCGAGACGAGAGTGCGGCCAAGCTCAGCGAAATCACGCCCGTCGAGTATACGCGGCCACAGGTCCTTCCGGACGCGACCACCGAAGAGGCCACGAACGAGGCCAGCCCGCAGGCGAAGGAGCCCTATGTGTTTGAAGGCGAGAGCTTCTGGGACGCTGCCGAGGACGAGCACACGCCGTCCAACGACCTCGACTACTGGGGCATGGCCTACGACGAGAACGCCCAGCAAACGTATTACTTTGCGTTTGCGTCTGGGAAGACACAGTGGACGCCGCCGTCGCACCTCGGTACACATTTGCGCTGCCTGCTGAAAGCGTCTGAGAAGGATATGCAATAGTGTACCCCGAGAGCCACCAAGTGCTGCTATGGGACGACGGTGCGCAGTGGTTCTACATTTACGACTATGTCCACGGCTCGAGTCGGTGGCTGGATCATTTTGAGGACCTCCAAGAGCGCGGGTCGCCCCAGCCTGTGAGCGACGACTGCATGAGCCAAGGTGGGTCTCTCGTTGAAGTGGTGCTTATACCATGGGACACTATGGCTAGCTACAACCGAAGAGCTCGAACCCGACACTATGGACGATCGCCGGCAACAGGTACATACTTCTCCCACGCATCCGCGATATCGGTCATGTTGACACGCAGTTCTTAGATCCTCGCCTCCTGGGACGAGGCGACGGCGTCGGTCGTTGAGATTGAGATTGAGATGGGCGCCGACGACAAGATGACGGCAACAACAAGCAAGTGCTGCTGTGGCGTCGAGCACGGCTGTGTCTGCCCCGAGTGCTTTCTGCCGCTTCTCGATCGTCTGCCAGAGGATAGGACACGAGAAGGCTACTAAATATACTACCAAATGTGTTACGGGAACACGAGGACGTTGACGGTAATGTCGTCGACCACGTCTTCTTCGTCGAGCCAGCGTTCGAGCGCTTCGGCGACGAGCATATCACACATCGTCTGCGGGTCGTAGCCGTCTTGGAGGCACTTTGTACAGAGCGCGACGACCTGCTCCGAGGGTAGAAACTCCCAGAGCCCGTCCGAGGCCACGACGACAAAGGCCCGGGCACGAGTCGCGCACAGCGGCACATGCAGCTCCGAGCAGTCGGGGTCCGAGATGACGCCGACCGACGTCGCGACCGAGTCGCCAAACGACCGGGACATGGCCAGCCCCGGCATATCGACATCCTTGAGCCAGACGCGCGGGACGCCCCACTCAAACACTCGGCCATTCGTGGCCAAAATACGACTGAGCTCCGCGGGGACGTCTGGATCATAGGTTGGAACGTTATGCTATGTATCAATGTATCAAGGGGCAGCGAGCGACATACCTGGTTTGTGGTCCACCGACAGCGTGTGGGTCGTATACTCGTTGGTGGCTGCGTCGAGGACGCCCGCGACAGCGCGGCTGTCGCCAACGTTGGCAATAAATACATGCGGCGCCAGGTCCGGCATCTCGGGCGTCGGCGTCACGAGCAAGAGCGCGACGGCCGTCGACCCGCTTACGCTAATGTCGAGGCCGCTCTCTTCCTCGAGCTGCGTCGTCATGCGGCACGACGCTTCGAGGAAGACATCTTCGACAACATCGAGCGTCAAAAGCGTATCCGGCGTCAGCGCTGACACGTTGCGCTGCCACGCGTTGGCCACGTGGTGCGGGTAGTGGTCGCGGACAAAGTGGCTGACGTACGCGCCTTGCGAGCCATGACCGTCCATGACACACACAAAGGTGAGCGCGTCGCACTAGACCATGCCAGTTTCTCAGATCTGGGTCGAGAAGACTTTCAGAAAATGACGTCGTACGTCTGCAAACCGATCGCGGATCACGAACGAGTCTTGGTTCTCCTTGCGGCGACCCATCGAGTCGTTGCCGGCGCGCGTTCGGGAGCCCCACCAGAGCCCTTTCGAGACCGACTAGCATGTCAGAGCATGAGATATATGGGCAGAAAGCAGGTGGTGTCGTCGTCGTCGTCCGTACGTAGAGGCCACCGGGCGTCTGGCCCGTGTACTTGGGCAGCTCGATCGTAAACTCATCGACAGCGACGCCGGGAATGCCGCCGCCGACGTACACGTTGGGCGCGGTGCAAATGTCGAGCGTCTCGGGGTCGATCGCACTTGCATTGTCATCGTCGTCGTCGTCGTCGTTGTCGTTGTTGTCGCCCTCTTCGACCTCGACGCGGCGCAGCGTGACCTCGAGCGTCGTGAGCCGATCGGGCTTGATGAGCACGCCCGACTTGAAGCTGTTGCTGCGGAAGAACGTCTTGCGGCGAGTTGGCGCCTGCTTCTCGTGCGCCAGAACGTCGTCGTCTACGCAAGACGCGTGCGTCGCATGCTAGCAGGTCGCCGCCGGCGCGTACCGTCCGTCGGGAATGGCTGCGAGCAGCACATGCTGTAGGAGAACGCGCAGCCCATGCTAAGTCGACCTCGATCGCTGGCCTACATGGGCAGGTCGTCGTCAGGCGCAGGGTCGCAGCAGCAGCATCTTGCAGACCGTGGGCGACTCCGAACAACAACCAACTGCACTTTGCGGATGAAAAACTCACGTGCACCCAAATACAATTCGCATCTTTTATTCTGCATACACATACCAAGAGGTTGCAGCCGATTGTAATAAAATCGACCCACCACCTGGTGGTCCCATCGAAACGCGATCCGGCCAACGACATCCTCGTGATCTCAGATTGCGTCGTAGAGTCGATAAGAGCTCAGAGCTGTAGGGCGAGTAGCAGCCTTCAAGACCTATAGCAGCAGCCAGGTCGTCGTCAAGAAGGCAACGTACCGACTGGCCTCCAACACAACCGGATACGAGTTATATCCGGATACTGGCGGCCGGATCTTGGCATGATTCGTGACAGCACTTGACATTTGACATTTGAACATCCTGCAGCAACAGCCCCGTTCTTGATAAGCAAACGGTACCAGGAGTGACGCAGCTATGACGCTCCGCCTCAACTGGTCGATAACAAAGTAATCAAGATGCAGCAAAGGGAATCACGTCGGCAAAGACGGGCCAGTTTGTGCCAAGTCCCTTGGTTCGTGCGAACAAAGTGGGCGAGATGCGCAGTACCAACTAGCATGTGCTTTTCAAAACAAGAGCGCACGTGCTTGCAAAGGTCCCATTTGGTTTGGATCATGATTGGATCGGTGGCTATAGGCTTTTCAATACGTTTCAAGTGTTCGTGTGGGAAGTTGTTTGCAACCGAGCGCCAGCCTCGTACGCAAATCCATACGCATTCATACGAAATGCTTCGCTAGAGCACTTGTATCTCGGGCACCAACTAGCTTGACTAGATCTAAACTCTCTTCGTTTCGGTGCATCGTGGAGTAGTCTCGGTCAAGAGATTCGTCTGTGGTGTCACTCACATTTCACAAAGACAGAGGGATTGCGCTCGAGACGTCCGAGCCGATCTTCATTGACCGCCAGGGCGACGGCAGCAGATCCAATTGCTTTGGGGTCGTCGTTGGCCAATCCGAACCGCTTCAACTCCATATCTTGCACGTATGTTGAAATATACTCGTATCGACCCCAAAAAAAATGCACGGACCACTGCCCTTGACAACCAAACGGCCACAATTTATGGTCTAAGTACTACGTCCTTGCAACGATGCCCACTAGCGACGACCTCGTGACGTCGGTGGGCCTCCACACGGACGACATTCTCACAGCCATTGTCCAATGCATTGCTGCGCCGCACGAGGTGTCCGTCTTTCTTGATGCAGTCCCCGTCTCGACTGCAATAGCGGTGATATCAGTCCACTCTTGGATGTGCTTTCGACGCTGCCAGCACTGGACGACCTTGAGCTGTCGCGTTGCTGCTTTGATCCGACGCGCCCGCGACCATTGTTCCCGAAGCCGCTGCCACGCGGACATTTCTCCGACATGGCGTGGCCAGGCGATGCGTGGTCGGTGCTGGGCGTTGCCTTGGCGAGCGCACACGGCCTCAACGAGCTCTCGTGGCACTCTTGTTGCTCGAGCACGACGGCGCTGATGGCGACGATAACGGGGACGATACCCAACTGGATTGAGCGTGGCGCCAACAGCATTTCGTTCACGAGTGGAGACAAGACGTGGGTGCTCGTGAGCTGGCGGCCGCGCTTCCTCGAATGACAAGCTCGCTCAGCGTCGACCTCGTCATCAGCGGTGTTCGGTTGTCCACGACGAGCTACATTTTCTTTGGTTTGGCCCTTGCGTTGTGCGCAGGCGTCTCTATCGTGTTGCCACGCAACAGCAGCGCTGCGTTTCAAGCCGAGACCAAGTTCCGTCGCTTCATGTACCACGCAGTCGTCGTCGACGGCGGCCGTCGTCATCTCGTGCTTGAAAGCACTAGTACGGCGTAGGCTTCCTCTATTTAAGATCGCTCGCACAAAACAAGCGTCTCGAGCAACACAATACAAATGCCAACATCCAACTAAAGTATTTGCATGCAGTTCATGTTGACCTTTTCATTAAGCGCTCTCGGTGTGGCTGCTTCGACGGCGCAAAATCGGTATCGACTTAGTACTTGACAGCGTCGATCCACTGGTTGGTGTTGGCGTTGTGGCACTCCCACACCTGCGCCGCGTGCGCCGGGTTGGTGGGGTCAACGTCCAAGCACAGGTTGTTGTGCGTCGCGTGCTTGATCTTGTGACCAGCCGCGTCGATGATCCACTTTTGGTTGCCGTTGGTGGCGTCGCAGGCGTACGTGTGGAGTCCAAACTTGTTGCCGTCACGGTACGCGTCGAGGCACTGACCGTTGCTAGCCGCCTGGAGCGTCTTGGCCGCCGAGTCGTAGGTGAAGAGCTCGTTAGCCGTGTCCGAGGCCCAGTTGGCATAGACACCCGAGTAGAACTCGGAGATGGCCTTCTTGTCCTTCGTGATAAGCTTGACGTAGCTCTTGGCAGCCGGTGCTTCCTCGCACTTGGTGAACCACTGGCTGACACCGCCCGTGCAGTCGGCGACGAACGGGGCAGCGCCGGGCGTGGCGTGGGCCGACTCGAGGCAGAGGTTGCGCACGGCCAAGTGGCGGAGGCTGTGCGAGTTGGGTTCAAAGTCCCACTTCTGGGCCGAGCCGCCCGTGCACGTGTAGAGGCGCACCTGGTTCTTGCCCTGGACGTCCTGGTACACATCGAGGCACGTCGTGTTCTTGGTCTGCGACTGGATCGACTTGTCGTCAAAGTTGTACCAGAACTTTTCGTTCAAGTTCTTCTTCTCCGTGTCGACGAAGAGCTGGCCGTTCCACTCGGAGAGGACATTGTGCTTGTAGTTGCAGAGCGAGATGGTCGCAGCAGGCTTGAGAGGCGCTGACGTCGGAGCCGGCGGCGGCACCGGGAGCTTGCCGTCCTTGATGATCTTGGCAACGTTGACGCGACCGTAACCGTACCGGTTGTTGGGCCACGACGCGTCCGAGACACCGCCGCAGTTGGGCGCGCCCGGAAGCGACCGGTTGCGCGGCAGAATCCACTTCTCCGGTTCGGCTTGCAAGCTCGCTTGCTCCGTCGTCGTCGTGAGGTAGTGGTAGATCTCGTCGTACGTCAAGTCCTTCTGCACCGACTTGAGGAGCGCGACGACACCGGCGACGTGGGGCGCCGCCATCGACGTGCCCGCCTCGTAGTCGTACAACGTGTCACTGCCGTTGACGGCCGAGTACGTGAAGAAGCCGGGCGCCGAGACGTCGGGCTTGACGATCGTGTGCACCTGGTTCAAGCGGTCAACATACTTGGCCGGGCCCTTGGACGAAAAAAGGCCAGTTTGTCGGGCTCGTCGTCGTACGAGCCAATCGCACCGACCGAGATGACGTTGGGGTAGCTGGCTGGGTTGCCGGCCGTCGCGCAGGCAGGGCCTTCGTTGCCGTTGGCAAAGATGGGCGTAATACCCGCCTTGTGCCACGCGTCGACGATGTCCTGGTACCACGGATCCGAGCTCGAGTCGCTGCCCCACGAGTTGTTGACGACGTTGGCGCCCTTCTTGCAGTCGGGGCGCGACCCGTCCGCCTCGGTCGGGCACATCATGAACTCGGCGCACTCGATCAAGGCCGCGTTTGTACCGCCGCCCACATACAAGCCGCGGCAAGCAATGAACTGCGCGCCGGGGGCAACGACCAATGCCGTAGTCGCCGACCATGGTGCCGATCGTGTGGGTGCCGTGGCCATTGATGTCTTCGGGGAGCGCGGTCTGGAGGTACGGGTCGTACCACCCCTTGGCCTGGCGCCACTTGGACTTGATGGCTTCGTGGGTATGGCGGACACCCGTGTCGATCGAGCCAACGACGATGCCTTCGCCCTTGGTCGTCTTCCACACGTCGGTGGCCCCGATCGTCTTCACGCCCCACTGAATGCCCATGGGACGCGAGTTGGCAATGGTCGAGTTGGCAATGGTCGAGTTCTCCATGCTGTCCTTCTTCAGGACCGGGCTGAGCTTGATCGTCTTGACGACGTCGACCTTGAGAACGTTGTCAAGCTTGGCGATCTTGTCGGCGAGCGCGCGGTCGACCTTCTCGACCGTGGCTGCATTCGTGATCCAGAACGCCTTGACCTTGCGGTCGCCGACGATCTCGGACAGCGTCTGCTTGCGGCTGTCAGCCACGACGGAAGCCTCCTCGAAAAGAGCTTGGCGACGCTCGAACCCCGTCACTGCAGCGCTCTCCGTCTCGGCGGCGGGCGACCCCTTGAACGTGACGAAGGCCGTGAACGTAGCGTCTTGCTCGATCGCGCGCAGCGCCGAGCTCGTAATCTTGGCGTACACTGGCGCCAGCACGGACGCAAGGGCGAAAATCTTCATGGTCAACTTGCGCTGGACAAAGCAAATTGTAGAATGCCCAAGTTGTGGGCTGAATTTCGCTTGGTCCTGGCTGTGTTTGGTGCAACAGATGTGTTGTTGCAGATGTTGAGGGCGAGACATGCACCACCGATATCTGAGTTTGCAAGGCGTGGGGTCCCATGGATACATGTAGGAATGGAAACACGCAACACGAAAAGGCTGTCCGCCTCTTTGGCGCAGTGGGTGCGGACATTGCTACAAGCATTGTGAACGGTTTTCTGGAGTGGGGCCCGTCTACACACAGAATCGGCTGCCTTGGATGGCGGCGCCAAGGACAGTTCATTTCTCAGATGAGGTGATGCGCAAGATCGCCTTGCACTGTGTTGTTGAAATGAGTCCTTGCCTTGCACTGTGTACTGTACTACAACTCCGGCGAATGGAGCTCGCTCGCGTCGGTGGCATATAGTCCCCTCTTTTGTCACAATCAACAAAATCAACAAAATCAACATGCTTGTGTCATGAATCGGACTTTGATGCGACTACTGTGACGAGAAAGTCTCGGCGACGGAGTACAGACCAAGTACTGTGCTGTACGACGCTTCTGGGTCGTTAATGCACCGCCATTTGCGTACATCTAGGAGTATCAGATGCTTCCGCGGACACTTGCTTGTGACCGCTACCTGAACCACCTTCTGACGGGTGTGAGATTTAGGATACCATGAGAATGGATGCAAACGTCCCGCCATGAATCTGATATGCTCGTGCAAACAGCAAGGGTAATCTACGTAACAAAGTATGCACTTTGGTTCGCGCCTAGAAAGTGATGAAATTAACCTTAAGAGTGGTACATTTTGCCCCATGAAAGTGATCTTTGTGAATGGAAATGCAGTGATTTTTTTCAAAATGGCTGACCAATATGAACGCAAGGTAGTCTACTCTGATAGGTCGACGGCCGACTGGTTGTCGAAGAGTGAGGCGTAGATGCTCTTCTCCTGCAAAACCTCGAGTCCGTCAAGAAGCTCCTCGGCGGTCTTGCACCGTGGATCCCGACCATACTTTCTAAACGCTGCGGCGATGCCATACATAATTGATGCGCGTTATACATCAGATGGCGCTCGTGAGTGATGCGTTGCGTCTGATTTTGGTGATTGGGCGTCAAGATCGTACCCTTGATATCTGAGATTGGATGCAAACGTCCCGCCATGGATCTGATTTGCTCGTGCAAATAGCAAGGTATGTAATAAATGCATTTCACATTTATTACAGTACCGGTATATACCCTTGCAAACAGGAATTATCTGGTACCGACCGGTGCACAAGTGCACGGTCGTGTGCTTCTATTATAATAAGAAGGGTCCAGACCACGCAACGTAATCCATTTTCGTTCGACATGCGAGGACTTTGCAGACGATACCGGTATATGCTCCACATTTCGTCACTTGCCCTATTAATAATAGAATAGTAGCGAGCTATATATATATTGCTGATGTAAGTTGCTTAAACTTTTTTTGCTAACCCAAGCCGTTCGGTTGAATCGATATTGTTTGCTTCACGTCACCTGACAACTGTTTCCTTTATGTTCTGATTTACCAGCGTGATTGGTAGCCTGTTGTTTCAGATGTTTTTGGTCACGTCTCAACGGCTTTGCCCTACACCCACTCGCGGCTGGGCAAGATTGGATTGTAGCTTCAAGGTGTCCGACATTCCTAGGCTACGCGTCTCACTTGGTTCATTTTCAAATTTGCCACCTTCGACTCAAAGCGTGTCAAATCCCATGAAGGCCTTCCTCATCCTCTCGACGATGGCGGCGGCGGCGTCGGCCAAGGTCGCCAGCTCCGTGCTCCGTGCGCTCGAAGTCGACGGCAACGCTGATGTCTTTGTTCGGTTCGCGGACGCCTCGTCGGCGCTTGAGGCCGCGACGATCGAGTCCAACAAGCCGCTGGAGCGCCAGGAGGTGTTTGAGATCCTCTCGGACGCCACGGCGACGGGCCAGAAGAGCATCGAAGCGGCGACCGCCGGGTTCGAAGTGACGCCGACGTGGATCGTCTCGGGTGCCTTCATCAAGGCCGCCGACAAGGCGCTCATCGAGAAGCTGACGCTCAACCGTGTGATCAAGTCGGTCGAGCAAGTGCCCGATATGGAGCTCGATCCGGTGCTCTCCAAGTCCACCACCGACGACATCACCGCTCCTGCTGCGTCGCCCAACCAGTGGGGTATCGACACGGTTGGCGCCCCCGCCATCTGGAAGTACACCAACGGCTCGGGTATTGTCATTGGCTCCATCGACACGGGCGCTCGCCACACACATTTGCTGCTGAAGGACTCGTGGCGCGCCGACCGCGGTTCGTCCGACCCGTACAACCGCACGGCGGTGCCCGAAGATCTCCGCCCCCTCGGCACCCACACGATCGGTACCATGGTGGGTAACCGCG